TATAGGATTAATATTACATATCAATGATTTTATGAGTTTTTCTTCTTATGTAATGCTCAATTTTGTTATTTCTACTTAATCTAGGACTTAAATTCACTTGAATTTTTAACATAATTTAACCTCTTTGCAAAATAAAGATTACTTATTGATTTCATCTATAATCAAATAAATATCTCAAACAATTCTATTAGACATATTGAATTCAAACACATTTCAAACATATAATTCTTTTATTATAGAAGGTAATTTTATTAAGTTTATTGTTGTTAATTCTAGTTACCAAACCAATAATGAAAATATAAAAACAAATTAATGACAGAGGTCATTTGTATGAAAAAGATGTTTTATAATTTTTTTAGAAATAAAATAAAATGAAAGATTACATGTGAAAAAGTTGTGATTTTTTAAGAACTAAATTCGTAATTATTTTTTAAAATAAAATTATAAGTTTATTTATCATTTTTTTTTTTGGTTTTATCTTATATATATGTATTTAATCATAATTCATAAATACTTATTCCGATCTGAAAATTATAAACGTTGTAACTCATAGTTTTATGTTAAAAATAATTTGGATAGATTAAAAGAGAAGAGTATTTATACATCATCACTAACTTTGACTTGTTTTTTTATATATAACTTATACAATTTACAGCTCGAAATAGTCTGACTTTGTCACAAATCACAGTACTTAATAGTAAATTTTGATAATACCATGCACGACGAAGCTACCTTATCAACATGTTAATTTTCCAAACGATTAATCAAATAAACGTTTTTTATTTCACCACATAATACTTAAATATAAAAATTCTATCACGACATTATTTTACATCAATTTAATTAAGAATGTTGTATGAACTAATAAATTTCATACTTTTTCCAAAAAATTCAACCAAACTGATCTAACCAGTAACGAGTTGGTTCTATTAGAATTAATTGAGTCTCATCATACAAACGTGCAAAGTTATTTTAAAGAAAAGATACATAATTATCTTCTATTGATAAAAAGTATAAATAATATATTTTTATCATAATTAACATAAACTAAATAATATACACTATAAATCCCCTACACATAGTATATAGTAATCAGTAATAAAAAGTAGTATTTATTTGGTCAAAATCCATAATATGTAATTTACAAAATGAATATCCAAATCAATTATCAATTAGAATTAATAGTTTTGGTTTATAATAAGCTAAACCAAAGATTATAATAAACTTAATTGTTTGGTATGGTGAATGAATCGAATTAAATAAATAGTATCATGATTTATTATTCCATCTCTTTCACTCTACATGATATGTGCATAAACAAGAAGACAAATTTGGAAAGCACCAAACAGAGACCTACCATAGTTGAACAGTGGCAGCCACCCAAAGAAAGAGAAAAAGATGAATGTATGGAAATAAAACAATCACAAAACCCAACTTTTGCTCCTTCTATCCAACGATTCTGGTTGTCCTCTTTGGAACCACTCGTTTATAATGTTTCTTTTAATGTTATGGTTGAAACTGTCACAAACACCTTATCCACTTATTGTCAGTGTTCAAACCCAGATACTTTTTATATGCAGAGTGAAGCACTGAATAAGACTACATGTCAAAACAGAATCATTCTGCCTTTTATTTCATTATTATTTGCAACATCACTCCTATTAATTCCACCGCAAATAATGTTCAAATTATGTTACTTTTACGTTTAGTTGTCACTTATCTTTGGAGTGTTGTGCAAGAAATATTTTTAAGAAAGTTGAATTACAAATATCACGTTGTAGTATTAGGTATGGGTGTTCATTTCCACGTTTGGAATAATTCAGGAAAATAGTATCTTTAGAGTAAAAAGTTTGTTTAGTGTGATCAAAACGGAACACAGGTTTAATTAAGTCCATTTTATTATAAATTTATCATCTCAGTAAAAAAATTAAATTTGATTCGATTTATCATAGATTGATAGGTTAAATAGGTTAGTTCAGTCTTCTAATATCAAGTTTTCTTTTTCAATTCAAAAAATAAATATTTTTTTAATTTAAATTCAAATAAATTTCAATCTAAAATGATATTAAATTTTAAAAAGATAATTCAATATATATATATATATATATAATACAATCTAAATACATTTCAAAATCATGTTAAACTTTAAATATAATAAAAAAAACAAGCACAAAAAAACAAAATTAGATGAATTGACGAGACAGCCTGACTACCACATGTTCAACTTGGATGAGTCGAATTCTTAGTGAATCAAGCTTAAAATTAATTTGTATCAAAATTTCAACTTTTTTTTCAACCTAACTCGACCTGAATCCGTGATAAGCCAAATCATTAAGAGATTCTAATTCATCTTGACATTACTAAGTTTGCGTGTGCTTTATTGAGTTGTGAATTGTTATGTGTAGCTCTTCCCTCATCAACACATGGACCTCGTTTTTTATTATGTTGACAGCAAATTACTATTACATTGCTTTATTGTGAATAGAGTAGTAATATTATTACATTATTAGTATTTTAATTATTATAAGAATTAAAATATGATATAAAAAATACAAGAATTAAAATTTTAATGTCTTATAAAAATAATTATTTTAATTTCTTTTACAATTCCTCTCATGATTAAAACTAATTATTTTAATTTATTAAATTATAATTCTTTTACATTTTAAAAATTAATTTTAATAATTATTTTTAATTTTTATAAATATTTTTAGAATTAAATATAACATTAGCAATTATCATTTTATATTATTTTAATAACTAGGAATATTTTGATAATCTTTAATTTTTATCAATTAAACAAATTTTTAAAATTTATCATATGAATCAAATCCTACACTAATTCTCACAAACTTTACCTTTAAATACATTCTTAATTACCTCTAAATCCATCTAATAAAAAAAAATTACTCTCTAATTTCCTTAAATCTATTCAATCATTTTTCCCGATCATCTCTAATTAAACGCACCTTATAAATGAACGGAAAAGTACAATCTGAGAGTGTGAAAAGAGATAAAGATGGATGTTGGAAAAGGTTTGCTGATGAAATAAATGTTGGAAAAGGAGAAAAGGAATAAATATTAGTAATTATTACGTAGGTCATGATCAGGGTAAACTTAGGACATCAGAGGATCCTTTTCCCTTTTCCCATTTTGAATGACTTCCAAATTCATTGACTACAGTACTCCTCCAACTACAAGAAAAAAGTAACAAAAATAAGAATTTTCAGTTCTTTCATATATTATTTCAGTTATATATATCTTGTAATAAAAGCAGTAAAAGATGAATAGATAGATGTAAAAGAAAGTGAAAGAGAGATATTTTTGTGACATTAGACGTGGATGGTTGATGATAATTGTGATGATGAAGAGAGAAAAGTAATGTAGGGTTGTAGGTGACATTATTGTTGTAGTACTCGAGAAATGGAAAACCTTAGGAGATATTTGATGTTGATTTTCTGAAATTAGTAATACTAATAGGAAGAGGACAAGAAAAGGTTGGTCCCGTCTGTGTTTCAGACAGAACACAATGATAGAGGGTGTTCTGTTCTGATTGATTCTCTGCAGCGTTTGTACAATGAAACAGAGATAACACATGAACAGTAATTGGAATGCATAGCAGCTGATGATGCCTCTCTTCTGCTCTGCTCTGCTCTGATGCCTTTCATATACTTTTGTAGCTCTCATTACCGGAATGAATAATGTTGCATTGCTCTGTCACCCATATTATTAAATACTACACTCCTTCTAATGTGTAATCACTTGTGTCACCCACTGCTCCTTCTCAATCAACATCGCCAATCCTCGTTCCTTTAAAATTGCAGGTTGACTCATTATATCCCACTTTTCAATCTTTTTTTCTCTCGTAAAACCATTTTTTTTTCTCTGTTTCAAACTCTCAAACATGTATCTTTTTATTTAAGTATTGATGCTCATAATTATTTTGTAAGAACGCTTATTTTAATGATGAAAATCACAAGCACTGGCTAAATTAGTTGTGCAAAAATATTTAGTTACAATTCAGTTATTGCTGTAGATATATCCTGTGAAAGTGAGTTTAAGACAGCTTACTTCATTTAAAATATTTTAAAATAATGTTTTTGTATTAAACTATAGAAGAAAAATTAAATTGCTTACTATTAGAATAAAATTAGACGAACTGAGCTAAAAGAATTGGAAAATATTATATTAAAAATTCTACATATTATGAATTCTTTTCCAAAACGTTCTATAACTTGTATAGTTTCACTAAATATATCAAATGTAATATTGTAAAAACAGCCACTCTTACAAAGATAACTTACTATTGTTTTTTTTCTTCAAAAGGCATTTACTAAGCACACCTCTTATCTCACGTTAACATTTAGTACATAATAGTAGGAACCAATAAATGACCAAAACTAAATTGATATCCAAAAAAATTATACAAGGTATTGGAAATTAAGTTATATAATGACTAGGTATTTAATTTAGTAATTTTTAAATTATCATTTATCTTTTTTGGTAATAAACATTTTTAAGAAAGTTATCAATTACCCAAATAATGACAAATTAACGTTTCTTTCTAAAAATCCTTATTAAATGAATGAGTATATAAATGTCGTTGGTGAATCGATACTTAATGTTTATGATTGGAAAAATAATAATTAATATTTTAGTAATGTTATAATTAAGAAATATTTTAAATTAAGTTAAAACACTATAAAAGGTGAATTTGGCGGGTAGAAAGAAATAACGGAGATTTCTTAGAAATATATTATTATCCATATTTTTTTCATAAGCAAAAAGAATGCACCCAATCATAAACCATCGAAAATGAGAAAGGTTTTAACTCCCAAAGAAGAGATGCAAGAGCGCTGGGGTAGTCAAATAAAGTTGTGAAATGTGCAATGAAAAATACAACACAGATTGGTTTCCTCCCAAAGCCAGGGTTGCACACAAAGAGCCCACACTCACAAAATTGGCGGGCGAATACCCTAGTTTTGATAGCCTCTTACTAGTTTTGAAGATAAGAGAATTCTAGTATAGAATTGGTGCTCTCGAAAATCGTTTTTTTCTTTTCTTCATACACGATTGGGAATAATGGTTCTTAACCAAGAGGAGCAATCAGTATCTAAGTATTCATCAAGCAGTAACAGAATTATACAACGAGTTATAAGCGCAAAGGTCTGTTGCAATTTACCATTTTTACTTGCATTACTAGATAGGATGGGATGGTGCCTGAGTGGACTTGACCTCGTAATATAATTGCGGTGTATTGCTACCTGGTGCACTGGCTGAAGTGAAACAGAGGTTCTGCGGAATTGAGTTCACTGATTTTGTTGGAAAGATGGCATGCGGTGGAAAGGTAGCTGAAATTGAGAATCCTGATGATGCTGCAGAAGAGAACGGTGGTACTGGGTTGGCAGTAACCTGGCCATGTGTTTGCCACGCCCAGTTGGGGACTCCTTTTGAAGGATCTATGCCGATTCTCTCTGCTATTTCCTGTAAAATATTTCAACAATCTTTCAAACATACGCATATAGTTATCTTCCTGTGCCACAAACCACACAGTAATGCTGGTATCAAGTCGTATTAATGCATGGAGTATCTCCTCCATGTAGGATACAAATTTGAAAAGGAACGCCGAAAGGAATGTCGACGGAAATATTATTCCCATGCCGAGATGGTTTGTCATTAAATTTTTAGCCGTTTCCAAATACAGCTCATTACAAATATATATTTATGAATTACAATAACCAATTTATGGACTCACCACTTTAAGTACAGTTTTTCAACGTATTTGGGAACAACTCTTCTTGTCAAAAAGGAATAAGTGACAGCTATTTATCAAATAGAGACAAATTCCTTGAAAAGTTAGATTGCACCAAAAGTTGATAAAGATCGTATGTAAACGCTAAGGAGGATTCAACGGACATAAAACTCAACTTCGAATGTTATGTCAAAATGAAAAGTTAAACGTTTCTGTTTGACCTAAGGTAGACAGACACTATCGTAAATGTTTATATGGAAGCATTTAACAACGAAACAAGCAATCGGTTGCACAGGCAATTGAACTCACCAGATTGGGAAAGAAAGTGTAATGTGCGGCGTTCCATACAGAAGGACGCTCTTCAGTTACAACATGCCTTTTCAAAGAAGGATCACCAATAACTGAACTAAAATTAGTCTCCATCTGTAAATAAAGAGAATCACCCTATCATGACCATTAATTAATTACTAACATATAAATGTGAAGCAATTACCAAACAATACCGGAAACCATGTTTCCCACCATTCATGACCTATGAAGAGTGCTACGGAGCTAGCTAAAGCAAATAAAGGTTATAATGTGATATAGACATTTGCCCCCGAGCTTAAAGTAAACAAAGACGAAAAGTTCAATTATACCCTTGAAATTCTTCCGGGTTGCGTGCTGCATGGGACTTGCTGGAACTGAAGATGACCTATGTTTTCTTTGGGACCATGTCCTGGAGTTGCTATGCCCAGATTGAGATCAAGATCGTGATTGCCACCTGTGTTGAATTTTAACATTTACCATCTAATTTTAACTCTGACAATCAATTGGAAATAAATATAACAGAAGAGTATCTTGCTATGAAGTACTACCTTCATTGATAGCTTCAGGTTTCATTTCGCTGTCATATGTACTTGGCTCAAAGTTAGTCACTGCCTCTCTTCCATTGCACTTGATTGCTGCCTTGTCATAAGCCCTGCTTTCCAGAAAATCAAAAGGGAGACATGTTGGTTCGAACCGTAATTAGCTTTGAAAATTCAGGGAAAGGGTTCAGTGCAGGAAAAATGTAATTCATGTATCATTAGGACCTTGCAGCTTCTACTTCGCTGTCGAAAAGCCCAAGATATATATACCTGCACGAAAGCATTGCAATCTCTAAAACAACAAAAACACCTCTGCCAATCGTTTCTGTGAAACAGGCATCCTAGAGAAGTTTCTCCAAACGTGGAAAAAAGCCTATAGAGTAAAGACCGATTGACTACCAAGCTGGAAACAATTCCCTTCGAATTCGTACTTCAGTTATACCAACAGGTACAGCTGATTGCAATAGGAACTTAAAATCGTACTAATAGCTTTTGCTCGTACAACGTATAAATTCCATAAACGTAGGCATACTGCTACATCAGTACAAAAAAAAAATAGATACTCACTTTTTTCCAAGGAATTGTCCCATTCGAGCTTCCCACCGGCCACATTTGTGAAGTGTCACTCCCCGGTATTTTGAACTCCCCCTTGAGAAACCGGTACTGTGACGGCGGAGTATGTGCACGAACTCCTCCTTGGAAAGATTTTTCATCTGTTCATCATTAATAACTAGTGAAAAACCAATCGCAAGCTCCACTTAGATTCAAATTCACAGAAAGCTTATGCTTTTTCCAACCTGTTTTAAATCCTCCTCATAATCAACAAGATTAAAATTGATATCCGCATCAAGTCCCCTGAACTTAATTGCAGCTCGATCATAGGCCCTAAATTTGAAAATTCCGAGTCAATTAAGGAAGACACCAATCAAACGAAGGACAGATTTCATTAATAAACAAAACTACGACAAAGGACATTAAAATATGGGCAAAAAGTTTACCTGGCTGCGGCATGAGCGGTGTCAAATCCGCCTACAATGAATAACAATCTAATCACAAGACGCTAAAAATAGCAAGGAAGCATCGAATAACAAACTCAAATATATATCTATACGTATATTAATCAAAAATAATATATGTAAATGGAAAAAACTCAATTATATAAATATATAAATGGAAAATACAATTAATCAAAAATACAAATCCATACCCAAATAGACTTGTTTCCCGCAATCCCTACATCAAACAAGAAACTAATTTAGGTCAATTCTGTTGTACTTTCAAATTCCACCATGATTAACTACATTAAAATTTCAAAGCAAATAATCAGAGTTACTTCAACTCAAACCCTAATAAAAAGGGAATATAATATATAATAATCAATAATCAAGAGATGCTAAAATGAACAATGAGAACTGCACGAACCAGATATGCGATTCCCATCTTCCGGTCCTTCTGTAGAAGGTGACTCCTCTGTACTGAGAGCTCCGAGACCGTGGACCTCTCCTACTCTTCTTCACCTGTGGTTGTTGCTGAACCTGAACCACCTTCACCTCGCCGTTTTGGCGATCCAGCGAGAGATCCACCAAACTCTTCCTAGCCTGAAACGACGACGTCGAACTCTGTCCTTGCCTATTCTCCGCGCTCGCCGGAAACAGCTCCTTCGTCGCTGAGACGACGACGTCGTCGGCACCTTCGACCTTAAGGATTCCGAAATTGAAGGTGAACACTTCGCCGGCGCGTGTCGAACACGAGTCCTCGTTACTCGACCCTTCCGCATTCACCACGGAGGAATTCGAAGTTCCCGAAGAAGCTTCGGGAAACTTGTCCAACAGCATCACCGAGTCTTGGCTCTGAGTCGAGTCGGCATTCAGATTAAGATCCAACATGGCGCTAAATCTTCTTCTACTAAGTATTTTTCAACTCTGATTTTCTTTCTATTTTATTATTTGTATCACTTACGCGCTTTATTATTATTATTAATTCGAACTACAACATAGCAAACAAATATTTCTTCAGCGTCAGCGGAGAATCTCTTTTTCTCTTCAACCGATGGTTACAAGAAGGAAAATCGATCCAATAAAAGGAAACAACCAATTATTACACGTAAAATGTAACCTAAACGGTTGAAGACGCGATATCTGAGGTTATATTTTGGTGTATAAAGAGCTTCTTCGACGAACAAGGAATCTGCAGTGGAACAGAAGCAAAGAGAGGGAAAAGAGAATTAGTAGGATATCCGGCCACTGTGAGTTCGACGGAGAAATTATCCGGCGACCGGAAGAGCGAAGGAGGAGGAAGAGAGAAAAACTCACAGAAGGCGTGAGAAGGAAGCACTGCGAGGTTTGGTAGTTACATTTATAGTTCCCTTGCGATGATTTGAGAACCGGAGAGAATAAAACTTTGGGGGCTACGGGATTCCATGGCACCGGAGAGAGAGTGAGAGAGGTAACAGGATCCGGGACACTTAATATAAAAGCTCTGACCCATTTTATGAGATGATGGAATATATAAACATTTTCTCTCTCATGGTTCCAACTTCGAACCGGTTGGTACGGTCACCGGTCAAGCGAAGGAGTTTTTTATTTTTTTATTTTTATTTTCATTACTCTGTGACACAGTCCAGTTGTGGTCTCATCGACGGAAACAGCCATCCACCACTAACGGCTGGGTTTCTTGTTATACGTATCAGAAAGAGGTAATAAGGGCGTTTTTGGTACAAAGTATCACATGCCCAAATTTTTACCCTACAACAAATTTTTCTCATCTCTCTCACGCACTAATAACTAAATACTATTGTAAACAAACTCACTTCATAACAGTATTAATTCCAGATTGCCATAAAATAAATTAAACTTTCACTACATCTTACTTATTCTGAATTATGCAATAGTATTGTATGTTATTGTGTAAGGTAGTAATGATTTTTTTTATATATATAAAGGTTCTGTTTTATCTTGCTTTTTTTAAGTGTGTGATATAATCTTTTTAACAAATGTAGTATATGTAAGAAAATAATTTATGTTCGACCATATAACATTTTATATTTTTATTTAATTCTAAATTAATATGCATGCTAAATTTATTAATTTAGTAATAATCTCAATATATTATTAGTTAATAGTATATATACTTAAAAGGCATACAGATTAAAGAATGTGCAATTATTTTCTTGTAAAAATATACTAAAGAATGTACGACGTTACAGTATTTTTCTTCCTTATATTAACTATATAGAGATTAATTAAAATGGCATATCTTCGACTCCTTTTGCGCTATTTGTAATTTTCAAATCTTGCAGATTAGAGAAAAAGAAAATCTTCTTGGAAAGCTAATCCTTCCATGTTGGATGAATAAAATAATATCACCTGATATACATGCATACAAAATATTACGATAATAAATCCTTGAAGAAGTACAAGAAAAACATATGATAGAAAAGTCAAATTGGATGTGTATACTAAATAAAAGTAAACGTTTACATATGAATATTGAAAAAATACTAATAAATGACTTTAATTTATAGTTGTAAAAATATAGAAATATTTTAATAATAGAATTTAATTGAATAGAAAAATAAAGCCTACGAATAAAATTTAGATTTTTTATTATTATATTAAAAAAATTAGGTTTAAAAAACTTTCTTTCACTTAATTTTCTCGGTAACAAAATGTGTTTTTAATTCTAGATTTTTTTTTAATTTGAAATTCTAAAAGAGAGATGATTTTACATTGTTGTGGTCAAGATTTAGATAAATATGATCATCCTTTTCAATTATGAACGTTTAAGTGAAGATGGACTCATGAGTTATCTTTTAAAAGTTTATATAAACTATTTGGAGTGCGAAAAAGATTAGAAATAAATTGCCGTTTAAAAAACATTTCAATATCAATGGAGTTAATATTACATCTTTATAATGTAATTATTTTGTATGCTTAACCTGTGTTGAAAAGAAAAAACGAGTAAAAGTTACATAATTTTATATTTGACATCATGGTTATGTAAAATTTGAGTTCATTATATATGAAGTTAGTGTTTATATTCATTGGTGTGATAGAGTTATCATTATTGTTACAGTAACTTTATAAATTTTTTAAAATTTTTATAGGGTTAGAGAAATCAAGTTATTAATAATATTCTTCTTAAAATGAAAAAAAAAAGTTCGTAAATGGGTATGGAGAATTTTGTAGAGGTTTGTTGAATAATTGAACTACACTTCCTTAACATAACATAGTAGAAGCTTTAGAACTCTTAATCTGTTTTATGAATTTCAAGCCGCTATGTTGCACTTTCTCGTCTTGTTTCTACGAAAGAAATTCTAACCCTAAAAAAATCTTCGTTTTGCGAGTAAGTACAAGTTGACCCTCGTCTAAACCATAATATATCAAAAAGTCATATCAAATCAATATTTTCTATTAAAATAAGTTTAATAATGAAATAGATATTTTGCTTTTTATTTCTCCTTTCATTTCTGTTGTTTTTTCTTTAATTTAAACAATTTTTTTCAATTATTTTATTTATTTATTTCAATTTTTATACATAATATTATTTATCATAGTTGTTCATGTTACCAAAAATTACACTTTCATACACTATTACACGCATTTGATGTATTATTTTTCATTTTTTCATTATAAAATTTATGTCAAATGAATATAGATGTATCATTCTATCATTACTCATATTATTAAATTACCCTTTTTCAACAAATTCGTGTAATTTTTCGTGTATTTTGTGTCTAACTGGTTGGGGGAGCAAAATATAAGTCAAGCCACTTAAAAAAAAAATAATCCAATTTTCAAAATTACTTTTAAAAAAATGGTTAGATACCGAATAAAGAATTTAAAAACAATACAAAAATAGTACAAACACACATTTATTTGTTTTTCATTAAAATAAATTATTTATTTTATTCTTTGGCGCTTGTTCAAACCCTTGCTTATCTCTGTTTATCACTCTGCTAGTTGGTGAGTAAAGAAGAAAAAAAGTAATATGAAATACCATGATCGATTTTAGAGCACCATAATCTATTATGAATTTTTGTATTATAGTATTGATGACTAATATAAATTTATATTAATGAAATAAAACAATCTCACTCATTCACTTTTATCAATTTATATTGAGAACTTAATTTTATGTTTTTTTTTTCAATCTCCCATTTTCCTTTTCCATGATCGAAAATAAGAAATAACATCATGGATTGGATTTACGTGATTGTCGTCCAAAATTTAATGGCCAACAGCTTGTCACTTCATTTCTTGTCATTGAAGGCATTTGCTACTAAAAAAATAGCAACTTTAAAACTTACAAAAGAGACTTGACAAAGAAGCTGATGAAAAATTGTACCCACTTTTAGAGGGATGCAAACTATATATGTTTCTCATAAATATATTCAAATAATATTAAAAATTACCATAGATTAAAAAAATATTCATATTAAACTTGTACTTTTGAAATGAGATTTGTTCTACCTTTCTCTCAAATAAATATAATTATATTGACGTATTTGAATCTCCAAAGTGGTATTCTTTTTCAAGAGGCAAGGATACAATACCATATAATTAGTAAAGTATTTTTAAAGTAGAAGTAATTTTAACACGATGAATTATGAATATTTTATTAGTTCAATTAAATTATTTATGAATATAATAATTTAATTATTCTATTTTTACTTTCTTTTTTTTAAATAAAGCCATTTCTTTATAACTTACTTTTTTTTTTCAAAAATGGTGATTTACTTGTTCATCGTTTTCAAAATCAAACTCATCGTAATAAAGTTATCATATATTAAACAATTTAGTCAAAATTTTGTTTAGAATAAGTTTGTCTGTATTTTGTATTATTTTTTTCTTGGATTGTTTGTATGAGGTTGATTTGTATAATTATGAAGATGTGTTGTGCGTATGGTTTAATTGACAATGATTAATCCATATTAATTTAAGATCATATTGATATATTTGATTTGATGATTACGGTTTTGTGTGGACAAGTTTTAGCTTCCTCAATGAAACAAAATGTGTTCGAGAATAGTAAGAACATTTTGATGTTAAGGAAAGTAAGTAATATTTTTTATACAACCCTAAGATTGTATATTCTAATATAAATTACAATAATAATAATAATAATAATTTGATAATAAAATTTAAAAAGGAATACAAATAAAATAATATATATATATATATATATATATATATATATATTAACCATGACAAGTAAATGTATCACCGATTCATTAACATTCTTGTCTATAGTAAACTAAGATAGTTACATTGCTTTCTCCATTTTTTTGAGGTCTTTAAAATTATTTTGTAGGAATACAAAAATATAATATTTTTTCATTTTAATAAGATTGTTTCGATAACAAATACTTATTATAAGATCAAGGATATAATAAAAAATACAATAAAATATAAGTTTAGTTAATATTTTGGTTTTATATTTAAACTAATGATTTACTTTTGTTTGTGTATATATATATTTTTTTACTTTATAGAGTTATTTGTTAAATAAGATTAATTTTATATTTCTAATTAATTTGATATTAACACCGTTTAAAAGTGATACGTATCAAAATTTAATTCATTTTTATCTTGGATTACCTTCTTGTTGTGTTGAACTCTCATGAGAATTTTATTTTTGAAATTATATAAATAGGATTACTATTTTAATAAAATGGGGTTTTATTATTTGAAAATGATGTAGAATGAATACTCGATAAGAGACAGAGGAAGGTGGAAGAGGAAAGTGTAAAAAAGTGAAAGAAGTGATGAGAGATGAAGGAACATGAAGAGAGAAAAAAACAAAGAAATTTCATATTTTGACATTTAATATTTCTAAACTATGTTAACTCCAATTAACATTAAAAATAAATTAATTCTATTTAACAAGATTTAATTTCACTAAAGAAATATAAGGATGAAAATAAAGTATAGACCTAGGTATAAGAATCAAATTTATAATTAAACTTAAAATATATTAATGAAATTAAAAATAAAGTTTTATTGAGAATTTATGTTGGAGGAGGTTCGACACACACATAGAACTCCACACATGATAAGATATTGTCCGCTTTGGGCCAAGCCCTCACGGGTTTGCTTTTGGTACCACTCCAAAAGGCCTCTTATCATTGGAGATATCTATGTGTATATAAACCCTTGACCAGTCCTTATTTCACTCAACGTGCAGTCCTTATTTCACTCAATGTGGGACTTTGTTTGCACTCCAACAATTTAAACAAATAAAAAATTAAGAAATTACACATTAATTTATATTAAAGAAACCATGAAGAAGGATTCTTCTTCAAATATGGAAGGAAAGTTGTGATATATTGTAAGATGGAATTATAACTTTAAAGATCACAGATTCAAATCTAATCGGTAGCTTTTCAAAATAAAAAATGACAACAATATGTTATGCATCATGTGACAAACTTGTAATATATTATTAATTTTTTTAATATATATTATTTTGATAGTTATATAACTGT